GTTCCTGGTAAAAGAATGGTAGTGCAAATATCATTTGGGCTCTTTGCAATAAAAGGGAAGGAAACTGCTAAAAAAAATTTTTTTTTTAGTTGTAAGACTTGTAAGTTGTAAGACTTGTAAGACTTGTGAGACTTGTAAGACTTGTGAGACTTGTGAGACTTGTGAGACTTGTAAGACGAAAAAAAAAAATTGGAACCAATTTCATAATCATAAATAAAAAAAAAAACTTCATTCTATATATTCTATGTATTTATTGATTAAGTTTGTTTGGTGTAATGCTAGTGTAATGTTTTAATGTTTAGTGTAATGTTAGTGTTGCGTTAGTGTTGCTTTATCTTTTTTCTCAATCATATTTTTACTTTTTTATAAAATTTATTTTAAATTTATCCTTATTTTGGTCCACAAACATCCCACATTTTTAAATTTTTGCCCCAAAAATTTATTAAAAATAAAGTTATTCATTTAAATCTTTTGTCACATGATTTTTGTATCAAAAAAAATTTTTTAATGGAGATAAACAACTTCAAATGATAAAAAAGGAATTTCCGTGGATTAAAAATATCAGAGAAAAAAATATTCATTTAAACTAAAAAATATTTATAAAGTGATAAATGAGAGTGATAAACCGAAAAAATCAACCCCATAAAAAAAAAAAAAAATTTAAAATTTAAAAAATTTTTCTTTGTTTAAATAAAATTATATCTGGTAAAACTTGGTATAATATTTTCCACATGTTATTACGTTTTTACAGGAAAATTTACCTGCAATTAAATACAAACTGCGTAATCTAAAATGCTGGTATGATATCATTTAACTTTTTGGCTGAAATTACAACTTTTTTTTTTTTTAAAACTTAAAACACAAATATTTTTTGGTATATATATTGTGTCACACAAAACCGAAAAATCGGAAAAATATCAGCCAATCATTTTCCCACGCACAAAAAAATTTTTTTTGATAATCTAACATCCACTCACATGATGATTTTTTTTTTTTCCCTACGTGTCAACTAACGAACTACTAGAGTCCAAACTTTAATGTTTTAAAAAAAAAAAAATGTTTATCAATAGATTATATTCCAATTCTATATTAATAAAACTTTTAAATAATCATCCTCGTAATTTATTTAATGTAATCAATAATTATAAAAATCCAACATTTCAACTTATAAATCATCCTTCAATTAATGTTATTCCAAATAGGACATACGCTAGTGCTACCAAAAAATCAATTACTGTGACTTTATTAAAACCACCAAAAAAAACAGAACCCGTAGAATTAACACAAGGAAAATTTAAAACTTATACCCCACGTACACCAGGTCTTCGTTGGTTAAAAAGACCCGTAAACGATCATTTATGGAAAGGAAAACCAATTCGTAAACTTACTGTACCTAAAAAGAAAAATTCTGGTAGAAATCATCATGGTTGTATTACTGTAAGGCATCAAGGAGGAGGTCATAAAAGACGTATTCGTGTAATTGATTTTTATAGATGGGATCCTTCACCTCATGAAGTTATTCGTATTGAATATGATCCAAATCGTTCCGCTCATTTGGCTTTGTTACGAAATACAATCAATGAGACATATTCTTATATTATTGCTCCATACAATCTTCAACCTGGTACTATTGTAAGATCATTTCGTCGATCTTCAAATAATGAAAGTGTTCAAAATTTTCAAGATTCTGAGATAACAAAAGTTATACCTATAGAAAAAGGTAATTGTATGCCATTAAAATTAATTCCGGTTGGGACTACAATAAGTTGTATTGGGTTAAAACCTGATGGTCCTGCAATATTATGTCGTTCGGCTGGAGTTTCTGCTCAATTGGTTCGTACAGGTGAGAAAGGTTATGCTCAAGTAAAATTAAAAAGTAGTGAAGTTAGGTTGATACATGTGGATTGTTGTGCCACGATTGGAACTATTTCAAATCCTGATCATCAACATGCTACTTTAGGAAAAGCAGGTAGAAGTAGATGGTTAGGTGTTAGACCAACTGTTAGAGGTGTTGCGATGAATGCTGTTGATCATCCTCATGGTGGTGGAAGAGGTAAAAGTAAAGGAAATAGGCATCCTGTAAGTCCTTGGGGTGTTTTAGCTAAGGGTGGTAAAACCAGAAAGAAACCAAATAAATGGGTTATTAAACCTAGACCGAGAAGATAAAATAAAATATCGATTTTTTCAAGTTGTATGATTGAATTGTTATATGATTAATAAAATCAAATTGTATTTCAAATCAAATTGTATTTCAAATCAAATTGTATTTTTCTCAAATAAATGTGCGATTTATTAAATTTTTTAATAGACTTTTTTTTTTAATTATCTTTAACTATGGAGTTAAATTATGGAGATACGGATCAAAATTAATTATTTTCTCTATTAGTATTTAAAAAGATTTAAAAGTTTAGTATAAAATGATAAATCTTCTAATTACAAAAAAAAGGTTTGATGTTAAAAAAAAAGAATTAAATTAAATTACATTCTGTTTATGTTATTTATATAAATATTGTAAAATACAAAAAGAAGAAGAAAAATATTTATAATTTTTTTTATATTTAAAAAAAATTTATGTGAAAAATCCCATTTCATAATTTACAGAATGTATAAATTATAAAGATGTTTGTAAATAAAACTCTATATTAACAATGTCTTTTGATTAAAGTGAAAACCAATATGGTAAACAAGAACCCATGTAAATCTATAAAAATAATTAATTAATATGAAATAAAATATCATGTATTTAAAAAAAAAAATGTTAAAATAAATTTTTACCAAATGTTTTTTCAGGATTACAATGACATTTTCCCCCTTCATGAACATCTTTCTCAATGGGACAATGTTCAAATGGATCATGTCTGTATGATATATCATTAAAAAAATGTATTTGATTTTTTTCTAGGAATAATGCGAGTGCAATTGTATGAACTGGTGCGTCTCCCCATCTAAAATAACAAATAATTTTTTTTTTTTTAAAAAAAAAAAGGATTCTTTGATGGTAAAGATGGTAAAAAAAAATTGTATTACCTTTCATAAAAAAATCCTCCAGCTTTATCTAAGAATTCAAAAAATTTAATATACTTTTCGCTTCTCCAGAAATTTAAATCTCCGATTTCAAAATTACTCCAAAAATGGCACCTTATAATAAAAATTTAATCAATAAAATATATATTAAAAATAACAAAAAAATGAACCAACTCACATGTTATAATTTTTTCCTGTATTGGATATGAATTTCATAGCACTATTTTTATTCATATATTCAGGATATTCTTTTGTAAATTCTTTAACTGTATCCCATAAAGTAGGAATAGTCTCTTTTACTTCCATAAGTGCGATCGTAAAGCCATATGTTATATTGTTCTTTTTAATAAATTTAAATACATCATAATCTATATCACACATGAATTCAACTCCGGGTTCTAATCTCCAATAGTAATCATATTGTTCTATAAGTGGATGACGGAAAAAGAATCCGGAATTGAATCGGCACATATGACGATAAGACTCCGAACCACCGTATATTACTTTATCTTCCTCCATTTTCTTACGAGCATATAATGCTTCAGTTTGATTTATCCAAGATGGATAACTCCACATTTCTACCGGTATTAAACCTTTATAAAAAAAATAATAATAATAATTAAATACTAATAATACCAATAATATTTACAGAAAAAAAAAAATTATGTAATTTTCTCATCAATATATACCATATTTTGTCTCGGCATTTGTCATTGCTTTTGTTGACTCAATAAATTCTTTAGTAAATTCTTTATCATTTAAGAATACATACGGATACTGAAATTTTTTATTAAATCTATCTTCAAATTGTCTCATAGAAGACATTAAACTAGATAATTCTTCATTTCTAACAAGTACAACTATTGCACCATTTTCTCTTGTCTTATTCTCATAATTAAAATCGTAAAATAAAGTACGATCTTTTGTTGGATTAACATATTCATTTTCAAAAAATATTTGCCGATTTGATTTAAATAATGTAATATCGAATAACGATAAAAAGAAAGCAAATGAAATTACGGACGATATTATGGTTAAAGCAATTAAGAATACGTACTGAAAGTACAGAGACCTTTGAGACGGTTTTTTTATTATAACCATGTTTGAAGTATTAATACATCTAGAAAATATGGTTATTTTTGAGACTACAGAAAGTTAGTGCACGTTACGTACAAAAAAAAAATTTAAGGAGAAAAAAAAAATCCCGTTCAGCTAAGACTTTTTTTTATACGCCAAAAAAATAATCGATAAGCCTTTTTTTTTTTTCATTATATTACAATATTTGTTTTTTCATAGCCTTAATAAATTACGAATATTTTTGTATGTTACGTTACTTCTTACTAAATTAACAATAAATGTTTTTATTTGGTACGATTTTCAGTGTAAGATAATCTTGCATTAAACAACATTAAACAACATTAAACATATGAAACTGACAACGAAAATCATTTTAGCTTAGTTAACCAACATAGCCCAATCTCGCGATCTTGGCATGGCAAAGCAAAACTAGCATAACTGAAATTATTTTTTAGTCATCTATGCAGTTATGCAGTTACACGCATTTCTTGTCTCTTCTGATTGGATAGATATAGGCGATCGAAATATGACGAATTATAATCATGCATCAATTAATTAAATTTTTAAATTATATAACATTTAGTTATTTTCTTTTTTTCTTTCCAAATTCCCCAAATTTTATAACAATTTCCCGAATTTTATAACATGTCAGTCGAATTGAACCAAGTTTTTCAACGTTGCCACGAACAAAGTACATATTTTTATATATATTTTTTTTAAAAAAGAAAACTAAATATGAACATTATATGTTTGTTTACGAAAATAACTTTTGACAAAAAATTATCTTTTAGAACGACCAGCTTTTGTAGCCTTTGTAACAGCTGGTTATCCGGATCCGGAAGAAACTGTTGATATATTATTAGGGCTTGAAGCTGGTGGAGCAGATATCATTGAATTAGGTGATTTGATTAATCAAGTATTTTCAATATAAAAAAATCAACTGATTAAAATTTCATAATTTTAAAAGGTATCCCTTTCACCGATCCTATGGTCGATGGCAAAACAATTCAAGAAGCAAATAACGTAATTTGATACTGATCAAATTTTATCTTTAGTACGATTTTTTCTATTGATTTAATCAGTTATTATGTCTATCCCAATTTTTTGATAGGTTGCACTCGAAAATAAAGTAGACATTACGAAATGTTTATCATATGTATCTGAATCAAGAGCTAAAGGACTTAAAATTCCAATTGTATTCATGGGATATTATAATCCGATTCTTGCTTATGGTGAAGAAAAAATTGTTGATGAATGTAAAAGAGTCGGTATCAATGGAAATATCGTAGTTGATCTACCTCCTGAAGAATGTGAAAAGTTTAGAACCCTTTGTAAAGGGAAAGGGTATGCATACTTTTAGAAATCAAAAGACGTCACCCCTAAATAGGGTGTCCTAAACAAATACTCTGTTCTCTTGTGTCCTATAGTCTAAGTTATATACCACTTGTCGCTCCTTCGACTACTGACGCGCGTATACGTCACCTTGCAAGTGTTGCAGATACTTTTATATACGTGGTGTCAAGAATGGGAGTTACGGGTTCAGAAATTCTTAATAAGGAATTACCAAAAATAGTTGCAAAAGTCCGTAAATGTACAAAATTACCACTTGCTGTCGGTTTTGGTGTAACCACAAGAGAAGATTTTAAAATGGTTGGTTTACATGCTGATGGTGTTGTGATTGGTAGCAAGATCATTAATATCTTGAAGTCAGCACGTAAGTTTTTTAATTTAAAATTTGTGTTTTTAATTCTGAATTGAAATATTAAGATCTTTTACTTGTTTAGCCAAAGGTAAAAGAGCCGAAGCCGTAAAATCGTACGCATTGGAAGTTAGTGGCAGGAGTGTTGAAGAAGTTAAAGAAGCATATGTTGGAAAAACAGAATTTAATAATACTCAAAGCATTCAGAATGTCGATGATAATGTATTAATAATTTCAATCTTTTGAATTTTTCTTTTAAATACATTATGACGTATGATTTTAAAAAAAATTCTTTTTTAGGCTACTTCACTTCATGCATTAGATGCTCGATTTGGTAATTTTGGAGGTCAATATGTTCCAGAGGCTTTGATCGAATGTTTATCTGAACTTGAAAAAGTATGGTTATATTTATTTTGTTTCTATATTTTCGTTCTTATATATTCGTACATAACATGTAATATATATAATTAATAGGTTTTTGTACAAGTAAAAGATGATCCAGAATTCTGGAAAGAATTTCGATCATATTATGATTATATGGGTAGAGAATCACAATTACAATTCGCAGATAGATTAACAGCAGATGTTGGGGGTGCAAAAATTTGGTTAAAAAGGGAAGATTTAAATCATACAGGATCTCATAAGATTAATAATGCAGTTGGACAAGTATTATTAGCAAAACGTATTGGTAAGAAAAGAATTATTGCCGAAACTGGAGCCGGACAACATGGTGTTGCTACCGCGACTGTTTGTGCAAAATTTGGATTAGAATGTGTTGTTTATATGGGTGCCGAAGATGTTAGAAGACAAGCTTTAAACGTTTTTAGAATGCGATTATTAGGAGCTAAAGTTGTTTCTGTAGAATCAGGAAGTAAAACATTGAAAGATGCTATTAATGAAGCTACTAGAGATTGGGTATCCACCGTTGAATATACACATTATTTAATTGGTTCAGCAATTGGACCTCATCCGTTCCCAACAATTGTAAGAGAATTCCAAAGTGTAATTGGAAAAGAATCTAAAGCACAAATGCTAGAAAAAGCTGGTAAATTACCTGATGCGGTTGTTGCTTGTGTTGGTGGAGGAAGTAATGCTATTGGAATGTTTCATCCTTTTGTCAATGATAAAAGTGTAAAAATTATAGGAGTTGAAGCTGGTGGAGATGGTAATACAAAGTTTATTTCTTTTTCCTTGTGACCTTTTATAAATAGTTTAAAAAATTTGAACATTTTTTTTTTTAATTTAATTTAGGAACGGATACCGAATTGCACTCAGCAACTTTATCCATGGGTACACCTGGAGTGTTACATGGAACACGTACTTATTTATTACAAGATAATAAGGGTCAAATCAAATCTACACATAGTATTAGTGCAGGATTAGATTATCCTGGTGTAGGACCTGAACATTCATGGCTTAAAGATATAGGTCGTGCAAATTATGTTGCTGTTTCTGATAAAGAAGCTTTAATTGGGTTTAGGAAACTTTCAGAGTTGGAAGGAATTATTCCTGGTACGTTTTTTTACTTTTTTAAGAATTTAATTATTAAATTTTTGGATTACTAAAATTTTTATCTTCCTATAATAAATAGCTCTTGAATCAAGTCACGCTATTTATTATGCTTTGCAACTTGCATCTTCAATGAATAAAGATCAAGATATTTTAGTATGTCTTAGTGGTCGTGGTGATAAAGATGTTGTATCCGTTGCCGAAGCTTTACCTAAATATGGTCCCCAAATTGATTGGGATCTTAGATTCGAATCTTACAATTAAATTTACATGTTATTTAAATTATTTGCTTTCTAAATTAGAAACAAAATTAATTTAATAGACAATCATACTTTTAAAAGAAAATATAATAAAATTTCATTAAATCTATATCAATTTATCAATTTGTGTAAACCTATATATCGAATCTAATTTCGTTCATTTTATAATTTCAGATATGAATTTTACAAATAAAATTATATAATTATATAATAAATTAGATTAAAATATTTTTATTTTACACAACATTATATTCTTCAGCTGTTAAAAGCTTTTCTTTGGAAAAAGTCACAGGTGCACCCGTTTCAATAAGAGTTACTTCCAAAGCCTAAATCAAATAAATTATATTGAGAAAGTTGGAAAATATTATAAAGAAACATAATTTTCCTTTATAACAAAATTATTACACTTACGTCTACATCACAAAACATTTTTTCGCTAATAAATGACACTCTAACAGGGAAAAAAGCGTTTACATCATCACCCGCAATATTAAACTCTAAAGAGCCTTGCTTATTAGAAGCGTCAATAATAGGCAACTGCCAGTCTAAAGTTCTTGCTTGACGATTTACTTCATAATGACCATCCACGTCACCAACAACAGGATTTCCTCCAGAACTTGAAATTACAAAGGAAAAATATATGATTATGAAAATTACCCTTAATTAAGATTTAGACGATATGTATTGCTTACTTACGGTAAAGGAATAGATATTAATACGTCTTTAAATTCTTGTTCATCATTCTCTAATTCATATTCGATATTAACATCGAATGTTCCATCACCAGACGGAGAAGGCCAACAATTTACTAAAGTTAAGTTTCAATTAAATAAAGTGCAAAAAAAAGTTTAAAGAGATGGAACAAGTTGTAATTAATCATACTTGATAATGGAATTACAGTTTCGTCTTTAGTAATATAACGCCATCTTAGTACACCTAATGGTTGGTTGACAGGAAATCCTTTGGTGGAATTCTTCAAAGCAATAATGCTATCACTTGAAAATAGCTTCTTATCGACATAAGGATGAGTCTGAGATAATTATTAATAAACTATAATATGAGTATTTTATGTAATGAACAATTGTATAAAAAATATAGACAATCAAAAAATAATAACCTTAAATTGCACTGCACTCTCATCATCAGCACGAACAGACATCTTAATTTTTGTCAAGTTTGGATCGGAAATAGTTAACTCTAGGTCACCTTTAACCTCCAAGCTTTCTAAACCTCCATCTCTGTTAGCTTGCAAAGAAATCTTTTCCATGATTGTAACGTGTACACTAAACGACAATTGTATATAAAATTTAATATTGATCATAAAAAAAAAATGGGATGTTATAGTTAAGATTCAAACCTTTCTATGTGAACTTTTGAAATAGAAGTCGACGTCCTGACATTGGGCTGCTTCTCAGTAACTTCTTCAAAACCAACTTCATTTTTAACAGCTTCGAATAAATCAGCACCCTTCTGTTTACGTCCAAGCTGCATACCCTTAGTTTTAGATGAAGGTGGAGTGGGTGAACTATATGAAAATTTATATTTATACAATTATTTTTAAAAATTTTTTTTAACAAAATTAATCGGGCATAACTCGATATCATACCTACTATATGATGAACGTATACTATCATCGAAAGTCGTTTGAACTTGCGGTTCAGCATATGAAGAGGGTCTATTAATTGATTGAACGAAGCTACTTCCAAAAGATGTACCACCACCACGTTTAAGCATTTCCTTTTTCTGCATTTCCAATTGCTTAGCCCTTCTCTTGAGCTCTTCCTTAGCTTCTTGTTCTTTATTCTAATAAATAAATAATAATAAATATTTATTCTGTTATGACATAATTTAATAAAAAAGATGAAAATCTTACTCTTGCTATTATTTCTTGAATCTTCTCTTCATGACTTTCCATTTCTGTGATGCTCTTGACTTGTGCCAAATTAACATTTTCTCGATAACCTAATGAAACAATTTCATCAAAAGTACTCAATAACTCAAAGCTATTTCTCAAAATTTCTCTTTCGTCATTCGATCGGCAAACATCAGATACCACACGAGCAAATAAATGTAAGGTATCAATATCTTGCAAGATATTGGATTGACGATTGGTAATAAGAACCATGTAAAGTTCATCAAGAGGCTGATAAACATAACGAACATGTTCAGTCTCAATTGTAGTATGCTGCTGTCCAGCGCTCGTCAACTTAGGAAAAGATGCAAGAAGACCTTCTATTCTAGCGCGTGGCATTTCGCGAAATTGACGAGAGATCACAGCTACAGAAAATATTTCAAAGAATTAACAATGATCTATAATTTGTCGATAATTCGATCAATTGAAATATGGCATAAATTGGAAATCGAATTAATAATGAAAAATAGATTTCCTACCTTTTCCGCCTTTTGTACATATCGATGCTGCCAAAACAACCTATTATTACATTGGCAGTTAAGAATCAAACGTCTTTATAATATAGTAAGAAAGTCTCATTAAAAACGAAGAGAAAAACAGACCATTGTTTCGATTTTAAGAGGGAAAAGGACTGATATAAACAAGTCGTCAAACTACAGTCTTGTCGGTATATAATATCATTTAATGGTGAAAATTAAAAAAAAAATTTTTTCAGTTGCGTTGGATGTTGTGCGACACAAACGTTGTATTACATAAATTAAAAACGCATTATTAAAAAATATTTGATCCTCTTCAAATTTATCTTAAAATATGGTGAGCGATCATAATTCCTTACTGACCTTAACCACTATTTATTTCTTTCTAAAATTAATTTTCGTATTTGAAAGGCAAAACAATCCGATAAAAAAATTGCTCAGGAAAATCTTCGATATTTAAGGAATCTTAAGCAAGGTTTCTTAACCGTAAACGTAAGTTTGGAAGCAAAGCTAACCTATTACTTATATGAATAAGTTATCTAATTTAATTATGTTTATTTGGTTTATTTGTTAACAGGCGATTTATATTCTTTATCAAGTTCTTTATAATTATAATACATTCACATTTTGGTTAGCTACAGGATATTTAGTAACGACAGGCATAAGTTTATTTCTTTGGAAACAACTCGTAATATATGGTTCACCAAGATATTCATCAGATGGAACTGTTATTTGGCCGGGAGAGGATTTGAATTCTGAAGGCTTAACCGCGTAAGTCTTTAATTTTGTTTAGATATCAATTGACTCAACTTTAACACTTAACAACGTATTATTAGGTATATGTTTGATATAATTTATATAACATGGTTTGTACATATAACAAGCATGTTTTTCGCATGGGCATGGTATATACTTTTGGTGGTAAGTAATTAAGTAATTAACATCTAATCTTAAATATGTAGAGAGTTATTTGACATTTACTTAAATTTGCAACATAGATCCCGAGTTTTGCAATTTACAAAATTTGGACATTTTTCATAAAACCAAATTTCTTTTCTGGTGATAATATGGCGGGATCAGATTTTCAAAAAAGCAAACGTCAAAAGAAACTTGAAAAGCGGCAACAAGAAGGAAATGCTAAAATTAAATATGCTAGAATATAGCTAAACTAGAAAATTAAAAGGGCTTACATTCAGGAAATTTCACACATAGTAAGTCGAAACCGAAGGGATGAAATATTTTTTTTTAATAAAATTCAATACAAAATTGTAATCAATATTTTGATTACGAAATATAAAAAAAATTTACAAATAATTAAAAAGTCAATAAAAAGAATATCTTCGAATAAAATTATTAATACTTTTCTTTTCTATTTTGGTAAATATTAAAATTGACTCCCTAATGACATTAGTATAATTGAAATGAATATTAAACATCATTCTCAGATCGACACTTCATTCCTCCTCATCGTCATCATCATCATTGGCTTCTATTTCATCGTTATCATCGTCATCGTCATTTTCATCATTATCTCCAGTTTCATCTCCCTCATTATCATCTTCATTGTCTTCATTATTATTTTCATAGTCAATATCCATGTAGTTATTAACTACATCTCTCTCATCCTCATCATTATCCTCAGAATCATTTCCTTTATTATCATTAAGGTTATCCTTTTCTAACTCTTCCACGATTTCATCATTCCCTATATTACTTTCACCATCATTATAATCATCATCGTTGCCTTTGACTGCATCGATCATTTCTTCATCTTCGTCTTCATCTTCACTTTCGTTTTCATCCTCTTCCAAATGTCCATTATCCAAATCACGATTTATAAATACTTCTTGTTCTTCATCCGTTTCTTCTGTTCCAGAATCCTTCATAACAATACACTATTTAAATATTGGGTAGAACAAATGGTTTTATTTTAATTTCATATTTACCTTTGCTTCATCTTCGTCGTCGTCGTCGCTTTCATCATCCTCATTTTCATCACTGCTCTCAATATAAGATAATATAGGATCATTAGAAGTATTTATAACATCTTGTTGATGCATCGATACTTGTTGCATAACCAGGTCAAGACGTCCATAAAAATTCAATAATTTCTGGAAAACCATCACACGGGCATCTAACGTTTGATAAAAATTTGAAAGTTTGCGAGTCAAATCTGGAATCTAAAAAATAAAAATGATGAAATTTAAATAAGTAATCTTTTTTAAACATGTTAGAGCTTAAAGTACAAATAACATTAATAACATTTACCGTCATTAAATAAGTCATATGAAATAACAAAACTGCTTTAATCCATTGTAGAATATGTGCTCCTGCATTAGGCTTTTCTTGAAATCTTGTAATTGCTTTCTCAAGAAATGGTACAATATATTTTGTTGGTAATTTTTTCACTGTATTATTGATTATATCAGGATCTGTTTGCTCCAATACGACCAAAATAAGTTGTTTATCATTCGAATGTAAAGCTTGAACAAGCATTTGTTGCACGGAGTGTCCTGTGAATTTCTTGAATTTGTGTTGTTCCGCTTCAGGCTTCTGGTTTGGATTATTCTCATCGTCTACCGTATTCAAGTCTTTTATCTCAATCTTCAATTGTTACCCAAATATTGATGATTACCAAAAAAAAGAAAACTTGTATTAATTAATCGGTTTATTCAAAATATATGATATAATAATAAATATTTAGTATATTACTTTATTTATATCTTCCAAACCTTCATTGTCAGGCGCGGTAATGTTGGGTAATTCATAGTTTGTTGTTCCTGTCACTTTGACTTTTGAATCATCATATAGCTTTTGTGTTTCTTGCTATTTGCGAGTTATATAACATGATAAACATTAATATCGAATCGTTGGCAAACAAAAATGATTTATTTCATGTATTTACCAGGTTTCTAGCAGCTAAATCTGAATCATTCATTAAAAATCCTGTCGGTTGATGACGCTTTAATATTATATCTTGAAAAGGTGTATCAACATTCTTACTTGTGAATTGCTAAATATATGTTAATACTTTTATCTTTTAAAGAAATTTAATAATTATCAAACATACCACTTTTTCAAAAGCTGGTTTTACGGTGCTCCCTCTAGCAACCATTATGCAACCCATCTCTTTATCCTCTTCATTTTCAACAAAACAAGCGGAGAGTATAGGTATTATATCTGCGCCATCTTCGTTAAGAAATTTTATCTGACCTTCAGCTTTGTGGGTTGTAAACCGTTTCTTTCTTTTGTTCTGCAGTGTTGTGTCATTTGATAATGAAGATGTAATATCTTTAAATATATATAATACACCAGCTTCAGAGACTGCTAAAACAGTGTTCATTTTAGAAATCGAAAGATTTGTGATGTTTTCATCCAGGGTCAAAGCTGTATTTAAAATATAAGAATTACATATATAAAATTTTTATTCGGAAGATTTAAACCATATTTTCTTCTCTAGAATTTACCATCCAGGTTGCCATTATCTTGGCACTTCCAAATATTTATAAATCGATCATGCTCTGCGGAAGTTATAAATAGTTCATCTTTCGCCGAAAACATAATATTAGTGATCCTAGTCGCGTGACCAGTAAAGGTTTTATGAATTTCCTTAGATTGCAGATCCCACATTATAATACTATGTCCTACTGATAATAATTTAGTTTCATCATGTGATAGACCAAGTTTGTATTTCGTCATTTGCGAACCAACATTCCATTTACTAAAAATTTTAAAGAAAAATTGTTATCCACACAAATCAATCTAATAAGAAATGATTTTGAAAATATCATACCTAATGACACTTTCATTATCAATATTCCATTCCACAATGTTCATATCTTCACCACAAGAATAACCCTTTTTACAATCTTTAGTAAAAATAAAGTCATTAATTGGTGATGTATGCGTTCCACTTAAAGTTTTTATAATGGATCCATGTGAAATAGAATAAATTATTATTGATCCAGTTTGTGACCCTAGTGCAATTACTTTAATACATTGTTCATTTTCAGATGAAAGCTTCTTTTTCTTTTTCGGCGAAGGTGTATCCTATAAGTTGTAATGAGTGTAATTAGAAATTAACTTTCAATTATAAAAAAACGGAAAAGCGTAAAATTTAAACCGCATTCCCGCAATACACATGCCTTATTCGACTTACAACTTTTTTATTTAAATCTATTTTCCCCCAAGTCAAGCAATTAAATTTTTCTTCGGATTCTGAAGAAAAATCGTTAATAACTGTTCCAGCATGCGTATCGAATACTCTCAATCGATGACGATCTACACTTTGAGTAACTAATGCGAAAAAGTCTGCATTAGGAGTATCAAATCGCGCAAGTAAGGGTTCAATAAGTATTGCATTACGATTTGACTGTTCCACAAGTTTATTAGAATGCGGTGTTTTTACGTTGCTTAACTTTCGCCTTTCTTTTTTGCCCATCTTTATTTATTTTTGAATTTTTTTGATCAAAAAAAAAAAAAATTTTTTTTTATTGCATTTATTTGCATTTACTGATTTGATCTGCGAATCACAATCGATTATGTAAGGAGTGATTAAGTGTATATAAATCCTTATTAACTTTTCCGCTTTAAAAAGTTGGTTACTTACTTGTATCTTGTAGATCTACGAAGTTACAACTATGTCAGGTTCGAATCAGCAACACGTTCCATATGGCTACGACACTAATACTTATGTTCCTAGTACAGCTGGAACAATTCCGTCTACCGATCAATCATATTATGGATATGATTATACGTATTCCTCCAATTCACTTTATCAAAACAATATGACTTCAAGCGGATATGAAGGGTACGCCGACTATTCTGCTTATAATGCTAGTTCTTACTATTATCCTTCAACAGGAGGAACAACAACAACATCAACTTCAACAGCTACTGTAGTTGAGGCTCCTCCAACTATGATTAACCCTACAGTTTCTTTGTCTTCTACTGCTTCAATTAATAACAAATCTGGACATAATCAGCATCAACAGGATAGAAGAATGAGCTTCCATGGCCCAATGAAAGATGAAACAATGTCTGGAACTAATGAACAATCAGGGATGAGTAGTGGTAATAAACAGCAATCTTCGAAGAAAAAACAAAAAACTATTATTAGAGCTGCAGGTGGTGAAGTCTGGGAAGATCCAACCTTATTGGAATGGGATTTGAGTAAGTTTATTTATTACTATAAATTATATGTAAATTATAATTATATAACTAATAGGTTTTTCTTTCAAAACAGATGATTTTCGTTTATTTTGTGGTGATCTCGGTAATGAAGTTACTGATGATGTTCTATACAAAGCTTTTAGCAAGTACCAATCTATTCAGAAGGCTAAAGTTATACGAGATAAAAGGACAGGTAAAAGTAAAGGATATGGGTTTGTTAGTTTCAAAGATGCTGATGAATTTGTGAAAGCATGGAAAGAAATGAACGGTAAGTTATTATTTTATCATTCACTAAAAAAATGAAAAAAGTTTAATAATGTGTTAACTTTGTTTTACATTTAATAGGCAAATATGTCGGAAACAGACCAATAAAATTACGAAAGAGCACATGGAAAGATAGGAATATAGACGTTAAAAATAAAAAACATCATCCTTATAAATAAAAATTAATACTTTTAAATTTTAATAGCTTTATGACGATATGAGATACGCTTGACACGCATATCAACACGATTCTATATTCTAAATTATATGTTCATCAAAGATATTTGATTTGATCTTTTATCGGGTAAATATCAATTTTTATAATAAAAAGCAATTTATATTTCTTTGCTGAAAATATTCTATTAACATTTCGCCCATTAGATGTATCTCCATTCAACTTTTAAATTCAATTTATTTATGAAATAAAAATTATTTATTTATTTATTTAACAATTTAAATTTAAATATTATTAAATTAAGAGAATCATACCTCACATTCAATCCTTCTCAACAGATCGAATTACTTCATCAATAAAAGCGTTTATGTTGAAATTGTCAAGTTGATAAGGAAGTGTAAATTCTACTTTAGCATCATGTAAACGTTTTATAAAACCTTTTAAGTTTGTAACTCGACTTTCCGCTTCTTGAAATTTTTTTGGAGGAATTTTTGCACGAATTTCCGCAACGTTTATAGGTCTTGTTGTGGAAGTCAACGCGAGTTCTTGAATGTCTTTAGCAATTTCAAGCAGTCTTTCAAGTTGGTAACATCCCCGACAAGCTGCTGCCCTGATATCTGAAGGTCCTGGGGAATTATAACGAGCAACAGCGGCTTTCTGATCAATTTCTGACGGACTTAACTCAGCTTGTATGAAGTTTGGATCTGAAGTATCAATTCGAGCCTTTCCATAATTCTTGAATGGAATTTGTTTAGACATGTGAAAATTATTTTGGAGGATGAAGCGAAATAGCTGAATTATACCTTTGAAAATCGCACGCGAATTTAAAATCATACACGTGAACACATGAAAATTATGTAATACAAATTCAGATTGGCTGTATCATTTAATTGATCCCAAAGTACATACATATATCAAGTCTATTCATCTGAAGATAAATTTTTTGTTCCTTGAAATCCGATTGATGGTTTCACAATAATTTTTACGGAAATTGTATGTTGAATTTCACGAAAATGGAATAAACATTTATAATCTCCAGTCCGATTGATTTCACTTGAATTAGTTTCATGAAATTCAATATCATCCAAATTCAAGGAAATAAAATATTCACTTTTAATTCGATTTAAAATGTCTTCAAGTTTCACGGAGTTTCTAAGTTCAGTAGGGTTATTGGCATCACCGTCCAAATCACATTCAAAAGTTAAAGAAGGAATATGATTAAGGATTGCAATTTTCTTTTGTGTTTCTTTAAAATATTTCAGCACCTTTGGAGCATTATTTTTTTTATCCTTCATATACAAAACACGAAATTAGTTACTTGAATTAAATGATTTGAAATTTCATTGAATTATAAAATTGACATACAACGTATGATTTTCCAAGAACAGCCAGTGTAATTTGTCCTCCTTTAGATATTTGATGTATCTGCGAAGGACCCTCTGATTGAAGCAACTTGTTTTTTCCTTTTGTTGGTATGTAATAATTTGCCTTCCGATTTGGATACAAATCGTTTCTCATATAACCTTCATAAATATTAATTAATAAATTTATACGAATTTATTTTAAATTTCAAAATTTAAAATATTACCAGGCTTGACTTTTACAATGTTGCCTACATTAAGAGAGAAATATTTGCTCTATAAGCATTAGTTACATTTAAAATGCACGTGCGTTATTTTTAACAACCTTCATTTCCAAGATTTTTAACATGTTCCAATAATTCTATTGATACTTTTCTATATCTAACAGCTCTACTAAAAATTTTTGAATCTAACAAGTTAACAAATAGATTCGCTGATTTATTAGAAATAATTTGTGCGTTTCTAAATGTTGTTAGTGTACGATTCGATAATAATGTTGACATTTTTAATTAAAAAAAGATGAAACGTGCAGATTCTTTTTTAATTTTAAACATGATATCGGACGTTATCGGATCTATTTTCGGTAATTCTGGCCGAAATTGCGAATTCTTTTACCCGTTGAATTTTGATTATCTGAATATGATGTGGAGTATCATATGCAGAATTGCAGATTGCGTTTTGGATGTTTTTTGATGTTTTTGATGAATAATTAAGATCAATTCATTTTTGATAAGTATATAAAAATGGAAATCATTGATGTATAACAAACTAAGCGACGCACTTTAAGACTACTTTAAGACTACTTTAAGAATATGTCATAAATACCGGTCTTTACCGAAAATTTTGATGTGCATTATCAAATATAAATATCTGTTCATTTATTTTTTAGATCAGAAATACCAGGAATTTTTTTTCTTATAAGAAGATAAATTATTTTTCCCCAAATTATTATAATTTATAAAATATAATTATAAAATGACTTTTCTACATTCAGTTTCTCGCGCTTCTTTTGGGTTATCAAAGGTTTTATATGATATTTTAGTTCTTTTAGTTCTAAAAGTTATCGAGAGAAACAAATATTTTTTATAAGAATGTAATGCTTATTTGTATATGGCTTAATGGTTTATTTCTAGACAGTAGCCGCTAAACCTTTGTCAACAACACTATTTTTGACAAGACAACTTTATCCTCCTACAATTACTGGTGCTATTCGGTATTTGCACGCCTCAAAACCTAAAGTATGTATGAAACAAGGATTATCGTAAATATTATTTAAAGGTTCGATAATTAAATATTTAATTAAATATTCAAATAATATTTTCAAATTTGACTGCCTAATAATTTTCTTTCCTATTGCAAGTTAAATATTTCAAACTTATATACGTGTAATTTATTTATTTTTTATTAAAGACTCTTAAAGAACGACTTGAAGAATTGATTCCATTAAAACAAGAAGAGGTAAAACAAGTAAAAAAAGAACATGGTGCCAAAAGTTTAGGAAATGTAACAGTTGATATGGCTTATGGAGGCATGAGAGGTATCAAAGGTTTGATCTGGGAAGGTTCAGTGTTAGATCCTGAAGAGGGTATCGAATTTAGAAACTTCACTATACCCGAATGTAGACAAAAACTCCCAACAGCAGATGGTGGTGAAGAACCATTACCAGAAGGATTATTTTGGTTATTGGCAACTGGAGAAGTTCCAACAAAAGAGCAAGTTAAATCTTTATCAGCTGAATGGGCAGCTAGAGCTTCAATTCCTTCATTTGTTGAAGAATTAATTGATAGATGTCCGAATACTTTACATCCAATGTCGCAATTTTCTTTAGCTGTGACTGCTTTACAACATGATTCTAATTTTTTTAAAGCGTATCAGTCCGGTGTTAATAAGAATGAGTATTGGCAATACGTTTATGAAGATGCCATGGATTTAATTTCAAAATTACCAAATGTTGCTGGCAGAATTTATAGAAATATTTATAAAGATGGGAAAGTCCCTCCTATTGAAATGGATAAAGATTATTCTTATAATTTTGCCAAAATTCTTGGCTATTCAGATAAAGATTTTGTGGAATTATTAAGACTTTATCTTACAATTCATTCTGATCATGAAGGTGGAAATGTATCAGCCCATACTATGGTAAATAACTTCGTTTATTATTTATTATTATAAGGGTCTACTTTATTTTTATTTGCTATTAAAAAAATTCTTTTATAATTTAGAGACTTGTTGGAAGTGCACTTTCTGATCCTTATATCTCATTTGCGGCTTCTCTTAATGGTTTAGCAGGTCCACTACATGGGTGAATGTTGCAACACTATTTAATTTATCTAGTGCTTACGCATTTAGTTAATAACAATAATAATAATAATTTTTGAAATTTTAAAGCCTTGCTAATCAAGAAGTCATTCGCTGGATTCTTAAGATGAGAGACGCGATTGGTGAGTCACCAAGTGATGAAACTGTCAAAGAATATGTTTGGAATACTTTAAAATCCGGTACAGTCGTACCCGGATATGGTCATGCAGTTCTCCGTAAGACAGTAAGCACAAAAAGATTTTTTTTTTTTTTTGTAAATTAGGAACTATAAATTAAACTTAACTCTTATTTATTTTAACTATTGTAGGATCCACGCTATACAGCTCAGTATGAATTTGCATCAAAGCATCTTCCAGATGATCCTCTCTTTAAATTAGTCAAGCAGCTTTATAAAATTGTACCAGGTGTTTTACTTGAGCATGGCAAAACTAAAAATCCTTGGCCCAATGTTGATGCTCATTCTGGTGTATTATTACAGCATTTTGGTTTAGTAGAGCAAAATTATTATACTGTATTATTTGGTGTTTCAAGATCATTAGGTGTTTTAGCTCAAATAATTTGGGATCGTGCTTTGTAAGTATATTTCAATACTAATATCAACTTTATTATTATTAAGAATTCTAATTGGTACATATTTCTTATATTTATAGGGGATTACCAATTGAACGACCAAAATCTTATTCTACCGAGTTAATCAAAAAGATGTTTGAAGAACATAAATGAATAACAGCATTTTATTCAATTAATTTTACCTACAACCTATTAATAATAGTTTATTAAATAATAGTTACTTACATATTCTTCTATAAATGTCATTATATAGAACTTGATTTTTCTTTTAACAGAAAGTTATTTTCCACTTATACAGTGCATTTTTTATTTTATTAATTCTATTATTTTAAATGTTCGTATTTGTTCAATGAAAGTATAAATGATTATTAATCTATTGTCATTTTGATATTACTTAATACATATTGTAAATATATAGTTCTTTAAATTGAATAATCATACACAATAATGTTCAAAGTATCATTTAAGATTAAATTTGCACTAAAGGTTTTTTTTACATGAATAAATTTTAAATTATTAGTTTAGTTAAAGGAAAAAATTATTATTCATCCATATTACTAATAACTTAATATAATTATATTACAGGCAGAATTTGAATTAAATAAAGTAAATAGATTATAGAAGACTATTTAATCATTTATTTATTATATTATAAAATAAAAGGTTAATTATTTTATTATATAAAAAAACTTTATAACAGTTTCTTCAATATTTAAAGATATTAGTTTAATATAATTAAAATATAATATACAGCCATCTTTTTATTTTGATTCTTTTTATTAAAAATAAATATAAATAATATAAAAGCAATACTTATTATCATCTAATAATAGATTATTTTTAACTATATAGGTTCATATTAAATATTCAATTAAAAAAAAAAGAATTATATTTTATATTTTAAATTGGTTTGATTATTTAAATTGAAATAAGAAATTGTAAACTCTATGCACAATATTATTTAAATTTGCAAATAAAAGATTTCTAATATAATAAAATATCTATGCATTTGGATAAGAGAGTAACCTATATAAAAGTGCTTTACCTTTTTCATTACCTATGGTAATATAACCACTATTAGGTGAAAAATCAAAGCATTGAACATAACCTAAAGGATTTGCTATATTTGGCCAGTTTGGAAATACATTGAATGAAGGTAAATGAACCTAAAAGAAAAAATTAACAAATTAATTAAATAGTATATATAAATTTTCTTTTTTAATAATAAGATTTGCTTTATTAACCATTTTTAATTGATCTCTTTTAGAATGACTTGAGATTCCAAGTATCTGAGTGTCATGATTGAACTTCATATCATGAACACTAGTTGTTAAGTTCATTATAGATTTCATAGGTTTTGGATTTGTTGAAGACAGACAGGAATCATCATAAATATTAACAATACCGGAATGTGAACTTAAGAAAAAAATAAAACATTATTAGATAACATATAACAAAAGAATGATTGTAAATTAAATCTTACCCGATAGCAAAATAATCATTATTCCTGGACACTGCTATTTTTTTAGGTTTATATCCACCTTCATCCGCAAAGCAATGCACAACTTTACGTGCACCTACATCCCATTGATAGATTGTAGCATCTTTACCGGCTGAAAATAAATATTTGCCATCACTAGACCAAGCAGCTGCATCTGCAGAACCATTCATTTTCAGGTTGGCAACTTGCTGTTTTGTCTGATAACTAACCAATGTTAAATAACCATTACTTCCTATAAACACGATATATTTTCCGCACGGAGATATCAAAAAATTCTCTCGAGTTTTATCCTCCGTCCCAAATATCCCTTGAGATCTATCAATACTTCCTGCCTCAATATTATATATATAAAAATACTTTCGTCGTCCAGATATTATAATTTCAGAACCGCTAGGATTAAATTCTGCTCTTAAAATCGGTAAATCATTGAAAATCACTGATTGGATTTTTGGGTTTTTCTTGCCATCCACCTTTATTCGTTCAGTGATAATGGAAAATTATTACGCATATTTGAAATATATTAAAACAAATATTTGATATTTAGAAACAAACCTGGAATAATCGTATTGTTTTATCTAATCCTGCAGTCATTATTACTTGCGAATTTGGGTGAAATTTCAATGATTGAATTGCACACTAATGATAGAATATGAAATAAAATTAATAAAATTCGCGAATTTATGTTTAATATTATAATATCTGTTAGGAGATTAAATGAAAAAATAGACAACTTGTGAATACGCTGCTCGGTTAGCATCTTGCATCCGGTAAATTTCAAGCTTGTTTGCCTTTAATTTCCATCTTGAATTCACACCGGACTTTACTAACGATTCATCAATATCTTTGTTTAGAACATCTATCTTTTCTATATCAGACGAGTCTCCATCGAAAATTTCACTTTCAGTTCGTCTTTTTCGTTTGGATGGTACAATGGCCCAATTTGGTGTTGGATGAAGTTTTTCAAACCTTTAAAAATGATTTAAAATTTTATGTAAGAATTATTTTCAATCAGAAGTATTAATATTTTAAAAATTAATTACTGGTTTCTTAATCTCTTTTCATATTGATCGCCGGATATTATATCTTCTTCTTCGGTTGTTCTTAACTTTTTCAACCTATTTTTACTTTTTAGGGAAACGGTGATATTCTCATCATCAGAATCTTGCCATCCACCATCAATTTCAAGTATCGGTTCACTATTTGTCTCTATTGAATTTAATGGCATTAAAATTAATATATGAGCAAAAAGAAAAAGATTATAAAATCATAAATACTTCTATTTTTCATTTCTGATTCTTTGCTATTGCAATCATCAACTAAATGATCATTCTCTTCCGTGTTCATATTATCATTAATATTTTCATATGTTTCGGGTGAAATATCGATAGAGTAAGGTACTGGCGATACAGTATCGAAAGCGTGTAGCTTTGGTAGTAACATTTAATCAATTGAAAAAAAATATATTTATGCATATTATGTGTTAAATATAATGATAGAACTTACGTTATTTTCCGCATTTTCAGTGGGAGTTTCAAATTCTTCGCCTTCCTTGGCTGACGACTCCACCTGTTTTGACACATTATCCTTTTGCCTAACGTTCTGTCTCGCACCACCCTCTGATTTGTATAGGTCTTCAAATACCAATGCCTCCAGTTCTAATTCCAATACTCCTTTCGGCGGAGAACCTCTGTGCTTTTGCCGTAATTCACTTAAGTCAATGAATTTATCAGCTAACGCGTCGAGAGGATTGTACCGTTCATCTTTTTCTATATTATTATTTTTGTTACTTTCGTTTTTTTTTAATAATGCAGACGCATTGTTGTTATTCAGTTTCTTTGCTCTTTTCCTTTGCTTAGGCATTTTGAACGGCAAAAAAAAAATTATTAATCTTCGAATCACAAGGGCAACACCCGAGGAAAATCCGCAACTTCGGGCAGAATTATAAACTATCGGCGCAGCGAATTTCTATATTAAGTAATGTCGGCTCTGTCTGATGCCATCGCAGTCATCTTGACTAGAAGATTATCAAAAAAAAAATTTTCACAATTTTAGTACTCGAGTTATTTGGTATAATCACTTCAATATAAGGATAGGCCGCTGTAATCAGCATGTCTACACCTTTTAGATTACGAGGACTATCAAAATGTTGTTGTATTTCTTCATTCACATTGTTGAATAGAAGAAATGAAAGAGTACTACCATTAATATTGCAAAATAGGTATATGTTGCGGGTAAATAATGCTATAATACAAAACTTATGATACATAATTTTTAAATATTAAAATGTTACCTTATTAACGACTTTATTTTTTAAAAGACTCATTATATTAGTTATTCACAAGTAAATAATGAAAATTCAAATAATAAAACTAAAAGAAAAAATAAATTAGAAGGATATTGGTTAGATGGATTTCAAACTCCAAAACCAATGCAAAAAAGAAAATTTCCACCCTTTATACATAATTTACTTGTACGTTTAGCTAAGGCATTTGGATATTATGATTTACCAGTACAAGCTATAAGAATTACAAGAGAATTATATCAAATGTGTTCAAAACATTATGATGATAATAAAGAATTTTATATTGGTGGTAAGTGAACTTTTCAGAGACATCCGGAAATTTGTTTTTCTTAAATTGATGCATTATTTAAAAAATTTTTTATTTAGCTTGTGGATTACCTGATAGTTTTCAAACTTGGTTTTCCGTAACTTTATTACATATTTGGATGTTAATGGTTAGGTTTAGAGTTGAAAATGAAGGAAAAATATTTATGCAACAATTAGTAAATCATTTATTTGAAGATGCTGAATGGAGAATGAGAGAAGATTATGGAGTATGTTATTTTTTTTAAAAAAAGACTTTTTTTACCATTATTTCATTAATTAAAAGTACTTTTTCTTAACGAAGATCACTTCAAATAGTATTATCAGACATTACATTAAGGATCTGCTTAACCAGTTTCATGGTGGTGTTATGGCATATGATGAAGGAATGTGTAAAGATGATCCTGTATTAGCCGCTGCTTTATGGAGGTATGTAAGCTGAAAATAAAAATTGTTTCTTTTGAAATTTTGTTAAAGAATTATTTATTTTTTTTTTTACAAGGAATATTTTAGTTACAGAGGGTTCAACTCATAATATGGCTTGTTTGGTTAAACATGTTAGACATGAATTACAAAGATTAGATCATTTATCATATGAAAGTATTATTGAAGGAAAAATTCAATTTAGAAAACCTGAAATTACATTGTAATATAAACAATATTGTTTAGAAAAGAATTTTTGCTAATGAAAAATTTTATTTGTGCAACCTATTTTATTATATAATATAAATTAAATATAACTGTTTTTAAAAGTATACTTTTATTTGTAATAATATGAAATTTAATTAATTTAATTAGTTTAACAATCAAAGTTAGATAAAAAAAAAATTTAATGAAAATTCTGATATTAAAGTAAGTTTAATCTGGTTTTTTAAGAAAATTTTTTATTTTAATATCATTTAATAAATATAAAATAATTGAAAAGTTATATATACTTATTTTTTTGATTTAATATTATATTTTTAAATAAAAATACTAATATTTAAATACTGATATTTATTTTAATTACCAAAAATATTACATCTTATCATTTTAAAATTTTCTTATATAAGTATCTTTATCAAAAAATTACTCAAATTTTTTTAATTAAGTTAAATTATCTTTTTATTTTTTATTTATTTTATAAATGTATAAATTATTTGTAAATCTCTTTCTAAAATTCTGAATATTTTTCATTTATATTAAACTAGAAAAATGGAAACTGTATATTTAGTTATTTAATTTTATTACAAATATTATAATAAAAATAGATTAACTAATTAACAACAAATTAAATTTATTGATTTTGTATAATAAATTTTAATAATATTTTTTCTTACAAAAAAATAAAAATATTATCAGTAATATAAAAAAATTGTAAGATGGAACTCTTTCTAATGATCATTATCCATTTTTTTAGCAGAAAAATAAATTTATTTTTTATAATTTTATAGTTTAAAAATGACTTTTAATAACAAAAATATAAGTATTTTAACCTTAATGAAATTGCCAATATTAAAAAAATGGAAAGATCCTCTAGCAATATACTAATATGATCCTTTTATAGTTTTGACAGATTCATCTAATACCATTAATCAGTAAAGGAATATGAATATACTGAGAAAATTATGAGATCTTTCAAGGCTAAATTTAAGGAATTTGGTATTCAGTTAAAAATGATGTTTAACTTACCTATTTATTGTTTATTATCTTTGTTTTTGCCAAAGATTACAAAACTACTTTGAAAAAAAATTTTAATGGCAAACATTCAAAAATAAATGGCATAGCAAATTTCAATAGATTTTACTAATAATATATTAATATCAAAACAAATGATGCTAATGAAAATTTTGAAAAATACCAAATACCAATTAACAATCATACAACTGATTTTTTTTCAAAAAGTGTTCTATAAAATTAAATACTAAAGTTATATTCTATATTTCCAAAAAAAACAGAAAAAACTGTTATTTTCACAGAAATGACTATTAGGAATTTAGAAATAAAACTACTTTTCTGACTTCATCTAGTATTAAAAAAATAAATAAAAATACAACCAAATTAGCTGTAAATAGAATTTGGACAATGTTTAATTAATTTAATTGATTATTAGATATCCAATTAAACAATAATTGAACATATATTCAAATCTAATTGGACAATGTTTATATTATTCAAATTATATAATATAAAAAATAATTGAACAATTGGACATATGTCTAATTGGATATTCAATTAGATGTCTAAATGTCCAATTAAATAAATTTCTAACACTGGATATTAGATAGCAAAGCTTAGTCTAATATTTGGAATCAAATATATTTAAATATATTTAAGTATTTATAAAGTATATTTGAATAATATTTGAATAAGTTAAATTTTCTTTTATAGTAATAATTTACATAAGTTTAGCCTGAATTATGATTTTAATTTGGTTAAATTTAAAAATTTAATATCCAATAACTATACTATATCTGGCTAAATGAATACTTGAATAACTACTATATTTATTCAAATACTAGAATATACTCAAATTATTTGAATAACTGTTATATATTTTTAAATATTAATTTAGCCAGTTAAGAAAAAATAACAGTACATTCTAAAAAAGCAAATCTTTTAATTATAACTAATTATAATCCATCAATCAAAGATAATGTCTATAAAATAACTTTATATGATATTTTCTTTACTTAGTAATCTGGTTTCAACTTAATAATTAATATTCTTTCACATCTTAAAAAGTGGAGTTACGTGATTACTATAAAGACTAAAAGTCAGAAGAAATACATAATAGTTATCAACTTACTATATCTATTAATTTCAATAAGTAGATAATAGAACTTTAGAATTAAGGAATTTGGACTGCTTCTTTAGAAAATCTTCCTGTCTGATAATACCCAACTAATTGAAATCTTTAACAAAAAAGAAAAGAGAATGATTTTAGACTGTGATTAAAAATATTTCTGGAACTATAACCACTCTAATAACTCTTTCTAATTACTAATTACCTATATAATAAGTTGTAGAATATTTAAAGTAGTTTAAGAGAAGAATACTTGCAAATTAATTATGTATTATGAAAGTTAGTTAGGCTGACATGAATAGTATATTAGTATTATTAGTACTAGTAAGATTACCTTACATAAATATGAAGTATTTGGTCAGGACCCCGCCTACTACTAAAATATGTTACTGGTAGAAATTTCACTTTCATATGAAACCTTACCTTAAAATTTGCTTAAATTTTATTGGTTAATTGACTAAAAAGGAAAAAAATTATAATAATGTAACATAAAATTTCCTTTTATAGTAGGATTTTCAAAGAGCTTTATATGTAAACCTTACCTTAGGCTACAGGGTGACCTATCTCAATAGTAGGCGGGTCCTATTTGAACTTAATATTTCTTTTCATAGCTATCTAAAAATCATAATAGACTAATAAGAAATAGCTATAACCAGAAGCAAATCAAAATACAACTTATAAAGATAGATAGAAAATTAGTTTGAATAAGGGAGCTTACAGATATTACGTAATTATTAAAGGGAGGAGGAGGGTAACCAAATCTTACGTTACACTTAATAAAATATATAATTTATAAATATTATAATTTGATTGGTTATTAAATCTGATAAGGGGGGGAGTAAGTTTATATTAAACTGAATATTACATATTATATGTAACTTCCCTAACAAGAATTAAGGATGAAAATCTTTTGAAAATAATTAAATTCTTAAAATGATGATGGAAAAGGACTTGGCTGATATTAATAAATTAACTATATTAGTAAAAATTAAATTATTGCTTAGAAGATTTGCTAATTAATAAAAAAACTGGATAAGCTTAAAAACTATAAGTAGGACAAATAGGACGCTATATATTAGAGTTAAAAATTAATCTGTTTAGCAAAATTTTTAATATCTAGTTCAGAAACATTATTATCTAATAAAGAAAAAGAATCAGTTATTTTGAAGCTATATCAATAGTTATAGAAATATAATTTTTCTTTAAAATTTTTTTTTTTTTGATAATCACAATATATTTACAAATTATACAAAGATAAAAAAAACTAATATTATTAATTTATAAACCATTTGTCATTTCTCTATGAAATCTCATATGTATACTATCAGATACTTAGGTAGTTATAATGATTAATTAAGTAAACAACATATGAAATACATCATATTAGTATATAGTCCTAATATCTTTATCTAGTAGATTACAAATTTTTCTTTAAAATGAATCTTTATTCAATTTATTATTTATTTCATTATTCATTAAACTTTATTATAGATGTGATTATGTCCTATTATAATCACGCTTACTTACATATATAAACCAAATATAAGATAAACAAATACATATAAGAATTAAGCATTATGAAACAAAACTACTTTTCATAAAGAACAAGTCGACCTGTCACTTAAACGATCACATCATTGTTAAAAACCATGATGCGACCTCAAATTCAAAAGTGACTGTCATGATCTACCTAAAAATTTGCCCAATAGCCACTTCAATAGAATGCTAAATCATTCCATTTATTCCAATTACTTTCTAACATATTACAGTCAACATCTTTAACACTCACTTCAGTACGTTTACTATATGACTTAGCTTTTTTATCTTTACCGCTAATACCGCACCACTTTTCTTCCTTTATTACACGTTATTAATAACGTGCATGTATGATTCTTTCTTTATTAATAAAAGCTGTATGTACATACTATCGAATACAGAATGATGAAATAAATGAAAAAAAATTTCTAAATAATTTGTTAAAACTACTGAAGAAGTTTATATATTTTTCTTTCAAACATAGTTTGCCATATATAAATATAATCAAATATGGAATGGTGTAAACACTATAACAAAATTCAATAGATAAACTATCTATATATTTTTCTTTCTAACTAAATAGCCCTATGTAAATATTATCAAATAGGGAATGCATTCATTAAAATATTATAATCTTCTTAATTTTAAATTAAAATTATTAGTTTTATGTAAATTAAATTGAAGTTGTTTTACTAAAACATATATGCTTAATGTTTCATACATTCTGTTGCAAGACTAAAAGAATTATTAAAAATATTACATATAATAGAATTTGTTGACTAATCACATAAAAATTTAAATTACTTGATATTTAAATTAATATTATTATATTCAAAATAATATTAGTTTTAAATAACATCAAATCTTATAATATTAATTATAATTTTTAATCAAAACAAAATATATTTAGAAAATAAAATTCATCTACTTTTATATACTTTTTTTTTTTTTCCGCAGCGCATTTGCAGTTTTATTAAAGTAAAAAAATAAAAAAATATATACAAAGTAAAATTCCTAATAACTACTCTAATATAATTAAACTACAAACCACTCGTCATACCGGTAGTACCTCACGTGTGCACTGTTAAGTGATCGTTTGACTCCGTAGGTAGACTTCATTTAGTAACAGGTCATCTTAGCCATAAAGACCCTATCTTCAATGTTTGGTGATCACGGGACCCAACTACTTTTATATACTGATTTTTCTTTTTTATAGATAAAATTATTATTTCTCAGTATTTTAAAATATTAAGCAATTTTTAGAACAATATAAAGTAATTTAGCAAAAGTAAAATCAGAGTTTATTTGATAAATAAATTATATCAAAAAAGTATTTAGTAGCTTCTAAACTATACATTCATAGAAGTAAAGGAACTA